TGCACAGACAGAATTGCTCCCAGCCTTGTGAAGCCCAAGCGAATGAACAGAAAAACTGAACAGAAGAAACTGTTCCATACTTTTGTTAGTAACTTTGCACGGCTTGTGAAGTACCGGCTCATTTGATCCAGGAATGAAGCGGCTTCACTCTCAACATTGCGGACCTATAAGCAAGATAGTATAAAAAGCTGTCACAAAAGAAAGTTGGGAATTCTCGAGAGAACTTCGTACGCCACAGACAGCAGGCAATATAATGTTACCCGGCAGAGTTCACTTAAAAGTTACCTCACTAAGCGTTTCCTCCTGAATTGATACACCAAAGTTGTTGCCATCTTCGATGCGAGGAATTAGCAGGGTGATCCACATCTTGACCTGGAATTGAAGCTGATCATCAAAATCTACTTCTAGGGAAGAGCAGTAGCAAAAAAAAACTCGGCGCTAGTGTGAAGAGGGACACAAGACCACCTGGGCAACCTGCTCGTCATTCCTTCCCCCAAGCTCAGGTCTATAGAATAAAGATGACCGAAATGGGAGCGGTCTAGATACGTCAGTACAGTCCACCAACAACATCGTAACATTATAACAAACCTTGTTCACGTTCTCTACCGCATCTCGCAGCAGCGGACGAATCTGATCCATCAGGTCAGCAAGATGTGCGTTGCATGGAACGGTGCCATTGATAAAGCCATATATGGGAGTACCTGAACGGCAACATTTATTTACTGGAAGGATTCAGCTATCATAGCGCTCGGTTATGAGATGCCCAAGGTAATTTCTTCGTCGACCACAACTTAAAGGCAGTTGGCACGATAAACCCTAAAGACTAACAGGTCGGAATTCCGCGACCCTCAGCATGCGCTGCGTAGCGCTTTTTCCGCGGAAGGTACCCTTGTGAGGGCCCTATAAGGCTACTACATACTGACCCGAACGCCCACCACGCCTAAATGGACGACCTCCCTGATTCTCGTATTGCTTCTAACTAAAATATGGAGCGAAGGCGTTTGGTATGAAGCGGCTGCGGTGCACGTGGATAGTATGAGTATGATATGATATGAGTACATACTTGCACTCGTACCTAGCGTAGCGGTTATTGACAACATGCCTACGGGGAACTCCTCCAAAAATGCTTTCCAAGAACAGTGGCTTTCCTTCGACTTTTCTACCGTTTCTCATCGTTTTTTTCGAGATTTTCCTACTATATAGAGCCCTGCTAGCTTTTTGGGACGAGTACCAAATTATCGTGACAACTGCCTTAAATTGGCGTCGACAACCTTGGATGGGGATGGATTGTATTTGAAGGACTTTCTTGAGCAAAACCAGTGCTCTGATGAGAATGAGAACATTTGCTTAAACTCGAGCAGGAGAAGATCAATAGAGTGAATGAACTAATTTCACCCGAGTGACCCTCCAAGGTCAAAGGTCCCCTTGATTGTAATAACTCACCATTATTGGCACTTGGATCAAAATCTGCAAGCTTTCGCTTCTTCGCCACAGGAGCATCTCCATCGACATCGTTCTGTGGTGGAAGTTCAGATAGAGGTACTGACATCAAAAAGGCAAAAGACATGGATAGAAAAAGGTACCAAGTGTGCCACGCAAGGGACGGGAATGTTCAAATCCGGATCAGGCATCATCTCCGGCAATCGAGCATACGAAAAGCGATGAGTCTAGAAAAGATGAGACGATTACAATTTGTAATTACAAAGCAAATTCAGGTTACCTGGTACCTGTAGCAGGTTGTTGTACTCAATCACTTTCTTCGGAAACTCCTCCATGACAATTCTTTCGGCCTCTTTGAACAACTCGGCTTTGTAGTCATTGAACTGAAAAATTAAAGCTACATATACAAAATCAAACAATCGCTGCGGAGGGGGGGTTAGGGGCTGGGTTTGACGCGTGCCAACATGTTCTCCAGCAACCGTCGAAAGAGAGCAATCCACAAACACTTGGTGAATAGCAAGTGTGGCCCCATTAAACCCCAGCCTGTTCGCTAAAATGCTACCCGGCGCCAATAGGCCCCTTACAATCTCCGACCCTATCAACAGCTGCTTTTATTTACGCAGTCGTAATAACGCACGCGACCGTTGGGGTGGCGCAGAAGGAGCGTTTTCCGAGCTGGAAGGAAGAACTTTCTTGTAGCGCTGTTGTTTGCAACGTGTATTATCGGTGCTCTTCGGGTCTGCGTGTGATTTTGTGTGTGGGCATTCGAGTAAGTTCCAGTCATCAGTTCTTGTTAACTAAAAGGCCTCACACTCTTGTCAGGTGTGTTACACCTGTGAAGCTGCGAAATCGTGCAAGTGAGTCACTTTCGTCACAAGGATGTACAGGTACTCATAAGATGACGTCCCCCCGCTCAACTAGGTACCATCTAATGCCCTCACCAAGCCGAACAATGCTCTGCCTTCTGATCCTCTACTTTGTTCTCAAACACTTCTCATCCAACATGTACCATTTATTCAGACAAGATAAACAGAAAATACGCAAAAGGAAGATCAGAAAAAAAAGACATTCGCGGCGTTCGAGGTGAAGGTGCGCTCTGTACGGGTGCGCTTATACCCCGGAAATAATAGTAATATATTAGTCTTTAAGATTACTTTTCTCAAATGTCGTTTCTCTGCCCACCTACACCCTCCCTCACTAAAACTTCTTCTCTCAACAGGCTCTGCCGTATTGGGCGCAGACAAACCGAGAACCCGTAATATTCACAGAAATTCGATCTAATCGCAAATTAGACAACAGAACACAATTCTTGTAGTCCCACCCAGGACGTGTTCCTGAGCGGTTAGCACACCATTCCGTAAACGTGAGGTCTAAGTCCAGGTTTTCCTAGGGCGAGTTTCTGTTTACACCTCAGCATTCTCGCGGAAACTCCAAGAAAGTGTGCTGCGCCGATGCGATGACCAGCCGTGATGGGGACAAAAATTATGCCATGTAAGCGCAATTCAACTGAAGCGCCCCGAAATCTCGAAAAATGTCTACAGGCGGTACTCGATGCCCTGATTGCGTTTATGGTATCCGTTTTAGTGCTGTTGGCAAAATGGCGCAACCATCTTTGCACCAAAGTCGATCTGAACCCCCCATACCTGAGGAGCTGTTCGGGGCCTGATCACAAATACGACATCACGCGGACCTAAGGCACTCGGATCGTAGCACGAACCAAAGACGCTCGGGTCGCATGTGGTCAGCGACAATAAAGGTGCCGGCAACGAAAAATGAGTGTTCGTGAACAATACCTCCAATGAACGGGAGACGGTCAAGACAGTAATCTGCCGCTCTGTCACGCGCAGCACT